CCCCAAACACACGCGGCCATGCGGGCACCAGGAATCCCGCCGCGGATGTCGAGTCGGGCTGGCCGAAACAACGGACCGCGAGATAGTTGAGTATGCCGCGCATAGCTTTAACCCGCAGCCCCGGCATAATTCCCAAGAACCTGAAGAGGGGAGCGAGGAGGCAGTGGAGCGGGCCAATTGGGGCTCGGGCGGAGGAGCGGCCAAGCAAAGACGGGGGGAGGAGGAGGGGGGAGGACGAGGAGCCAGTCCTGCAGTGCCTAAAAATGCTTGACCCCCCGCCCCCCGCTAAGGGACCTTGGTCCTGGCTAGCGCCAGTCGCGCAGCAGTCCTAGCTAGCGCCAGTCGCGCGGACGCCTGCCAAATTAGGCCACTGTCGCCCCGACCCCCAGTCTCTGGCCCTCGTGGTCGGGGTGCTCTTCGGGCCCAGGATGGGCCCTTAAGGCCGCGCCGCGCGTCCCCGTACCAGGGAGTTGGGATAGGACAGTCAGGGGAGTTGCGAATGGAGGACGCGCGACGAATTGGCTGCCCAGGTCAGTGCAGCACGTGCGGAAGACGAATCGGCTGCCCAGGTTAGGGGTAGCATGCGGGGAGGGTTGCCAAGGCATGCCAACGCACGCCAACGCATGCCAACGCATGCCAACGCGTGCCAACGCATGCCAACGCCTACCATCACATGCCAACGCATGCCAACGCATGCCAATGCATGCCTATGCACGCCACTGCACGCCAATGCATGCCAACACACGCCAGCGCATGCCCAAGCATGCCAACGCATGCCAAAGCATGCCAACGCCTGCCAACGCATGCCAACGCATGCTAACGCACGCCAGCGCATGCCAACGCATGCGAACGCATGCCAACGTATGCCAACGCATGCCAACGCATACCAATGCATGCCAATGCGTACCAACACATACCAGTGCGTGACGGCGCATGCCATCGCAAGCCAACGGTTGCCAACACATGCAAAGCACGCCAAAGGATGCCAACGCATGCCAAAGCGTGCCACTGCATGCCAACGCATACCATTGCATGCCAACGCATGCCAATGCATGCCAGCGCATGCCAACGGAAGCCAATGCCAGCGCATGCCGACGCACGCAAACGCATGCCGACGCAGGCTAACGCAGGCCAGCGTATGCCAATGCATGCCAAGGCCTGCCAATGCGTGCCAACGCATGCAAACGCATGCCAGTGCATGCCAACGCATGCCAACGCATGCCAACGCATGCCAACGCGTGCCAACGCGTGCCAACGCATGTCAACGCCTACCATCACATGCCCATGCGTGCCAACGCATGCCAATTCATACCAACGCATGCCAAAGCGGGCCAATGCATGCCAATGCATGCCACTGCATGCCAACGCATGCCACTGTATGCCAACGCATGCCAATCCATGCCAGTGTTAGGGTAGCACGTGCGGAGAAAAGAGTCGACTACCCGGGTTTAGGGGTAGCACACTGGGAGGGCTGGCCTGTCAGGTGTAGCATTTGGAGCGGGAAGACTGGCTTGGCCAGGGGGGTAGCCCAGCAACCTACTAGCCGCAGCAGGGCAATGCCGAGGCGCGGGCGACAACCTCGGCAGGCGGCCGAGCCCCACGGGCAAGCGGAAAGACCCGCTGCGACCGGCGCCCCCCCACGTGTGGGGAGTGCCAGACGGGCATGGCTCCCCGCCCAGGGCCCAGCGAGCCCGCCCGACCGGAACAAGGAAAATGCCGCGCCCCACGGGCAAGCGGGAGGCCCCGCCCGAACGGAAAACGCCCCCACGAGGGGGGAGAGCCGAACGGGCAGGGCCCCCCGCACACCCAAGGGACACGGACAAAAAAAAAAACGGAGAAACGGACCCCGGGGTCGACGACACGACGACCACGACCACAGGGAAGACGGACAGCCAGTCTCGCCCCAAAGCGGCGAACGCAGGGGGGGAATCCCTGCACCGCGCTGGGGGAGGCCCAGAGACCTGGCTGCCCACCCTGGGAAGGGGACCCCGTTTATGGGGGCCGTCCCAGGGGAACGGGAGCTTTTCGCCCCTCGGGCCGGGCGCTTCCCGCCTACGCCAGGAGGACCCTGGGGTCCCGACCCTTCCCCCCAACGGGAGGGCCCCCCTCGGAGCAGGAGGAAGGAGGAGGCGGAGGGGGGGAGGGGGAGGAGGGGGAGGAGGAGGAGGAGGAGGAGGAGGAGGAGGAGGAGGAGGAGGAGGAGGAGGAGGAGGTGACGGAGGAGGAGGAGGAGAAGGACGACGACGACGACGACGACGACGACGACGAGGAGGAAGACGAGGAGGAGGACGAGGAGGAGGAGGACGAGGAGGAGGACGAGGAGGAGGAAGGCGACGATGGGCAGGACCACGAGAGGGCCTGCGCCGTGGAGTCGCAGCTGCGGCTGGACGTGCAGCGCCAGGCACGTCCTCCTGCTCCCTGTGTCCTAATCATGCAGGGGCGACGTCAGGAGTCAGCAGGGATGTGCTCAGGGGAGAACGCAGCTTCGAGGTTCGATGGTCAAGGTTTTCTGGCGTTGTCTCGATGTTTGCTGGAGGATTCCCAGCCTCCGGATGCGCTCTCGCAGGTGCGTTTCGCCGATGGCGTTCTGGGGGTGCCCCGATCGTCCCGAATTGCCGCCAGAGACTCGAGCTATGGCCCGAAAACCGAGACCAGCCAGGGGCAATGTTAATTAGGGGAGGGCAATGTTAACTAAGGGAGAATAGGCTCGGGGGGGGACGCATCGACCCCCCATCGCCCGATCATCACCGATAGGGGCCCGATAGCCCACCCCGCCCAGGACCGTGCGGGTCCTTTATCGGGAGCTTTATTGCAAATCTACAGGGAGGTATCGCCGACTCCAGGTCGTTGCTCCCCACCCTGGACCGGTCATCCCCTAACGTCCCCCCTCAATCATCATCATCATCATCATCATCATCATCATCATCATCATCATCATCATCATCATAATCATAATCAGAATCATAATCATCAGCATCATCACAATCACCACCAACATTATCATTATCATCATCATCATCCTCAGCATCAGCATCATCAGCATCAGCGTCAGCATCAGCACTACCATCCTTCCCTCCGTTGCATTCGCTATTATCCTCTGCCCTCCTCTGCTTCCCCTTACAAACATCCATCATCCCTTTTATGTGTCCTCTTTTATAGCGTCTCTCTTCCTCTCTCTTTCTCTCTCTCTCTCTCTCTGGCTCTCTCTCTCTCTGTGTATATATACACATGTGTACATTCAAAGTTGTTCGCTAGCCAGCGTGGACCCCAGACAGTATATTTCTATCAGACTATGACGTGGAGTCAATGTGGGGTCATGTACGTGGCGCAATCTACGTGCTGCAACAGATGTTGCGCAAAGTATGCTGTGCAGCATGCTTGGTGCAATATATGTTGTGAACTCTATAGTGTGTAGCCGATGCGGTGCAATACTTACACACCTATATATCTGTATAAATATATGTCCATACGGAGTCATGTGTGTATGTAGATGTATTTATCTCTCCCTGTTTCTCGCATTATCTCTCTCTCTCTCTCTGTATCTCTCTCTCTCTCTCTCTCTCTCTTTCTGTCTGTATATATATACACATCCAAATCGGTGGTTCAATATACCTGTTGTACTCAATGTTGTTCCGCCTGTGATGTGCACTCTCTGAGGTGCGATATATGCGGTGCATTTCACGCGATGCAACCAATGTGGTGCAGTCTATGCGGTGCTACATGGGTTGTGCAATCAATGTTGTGCATTCAAGGTTGGGTAATACACGCGGTGCGATGTTTGTGGTGCCATGTATGTTGTACCATGCATGCGGTGCAAAATATGTAGTGCACTCGTGTGTTGTGCCATATATGGTATGCGATCTATGTTGTTGTGTCCAGCTAGTGTTGACGTATATATACATATATATGTATATATACACGTATGGTGCCGGATACATTGTGTTGTTAATGAGTTGCAGCCGATTGCAACGGGTGCGGGGAGTGCAACGGGACGGCGGCGACGGGACGGGACGGCGACGGCGACGATAACACAGCCGCCTCGCTAGCGGTCAGGCTCAACGACGGGCGGCGACTGGGCGGCGACGGCGACCACGGAGCCGCCAGACCAACAGCCAGGCCCAGACGACGGTCGACGCGGCGGCGACGGGGCGGCGACGGCGACCACGGAACCGCCAGACCAACAGCAAGGCGCACTTCTTTCGACGAAAAAATGTGCAAGCATTGTTCAGGGAGTCTGATATAAGTATACATCGTGTCGTTCTCTGTCCCATCAGTTTGTTTATATACTTTCTTACTATAGAGAGCACGAAGTCTGCACTTTATACACTGGAACTCATGTACATATGAAAACGACACAGAGATGTGTGTACATAGATTCGGATCTATATATGTACTAGATTTGAGGGCTCGCTCCGCTTCGCCTCAATATTGGTCCTGCGTTCGCGCAACGCCAACCACTCGGTGAATGTGTAATTGGTGAAAGCGGATGATGGCCACAGGGGGGGCTCACGGCCATCTTCCCAGAACGGGTCACAGGCATCTTCTTGGTTGGGGAGGAATGGCATCTCTGTGCGTGACGGGGCCAACGTCACGCATGCCAGGTGGGAGGAATTGGTGACCATCGGGGTGGGGTTACGGCCATGACGTCCAAAGAGAAATTCCATGAGAGTCGATGGAGTGAAACCAGAAACCCATGATCCGCTGTCAAGACGGCAAGGACAAAGAAGAAGAGAAGGAGGAAGACGACGACCATGGCGCTCAAATGCCAACCACCAGCGCCAAATAGCGCCGTGTGTGGGATACACATATGCACGCGTTGCGCGCCACTCGGTTCGCGATTGGGCGAGGGAAGAGGGAAAATCGCGGAAAGCGGAAGAGGGAGGAAGGCAGGAGGAAGGAGGAGGGGTGATGATGATGATAAGGAGGGGGAGGAGAGGGATAGAGGACCAGTGGAAATCCAACACGCATCAACGACGTCGCCGTTGCAAGGGTCTGGTTCACTTCTGGAAAGGTTGCGTTGGAAGAGACCCTTTTGATAATTCGCAAGCTTGCCAACACTACTTCTTGGGCTTCAACCTATCGAATCAAAGTGAGTGTGCCGCCCTGAGAATCATCTTAAATCGTGGCACCACACCTTGCTCGGGACGGTCAAACATAAAAATCTGTCAATCACGAGTGTGCCCGGCGTTCAGGCGAGAGCCACGTTTTGAAACCCGCCCGCCTTCCATCCGCCAAAAAGAACGAGTGCTACCTTTCAAGACGAAGGCGCGCGGGGCGAAGGCGACAGCCACAGTGGCGAAGGGAGCCGCCCTCCGTCCGCGAAGCTCTCGCAGGCTCTGAAACGAACGCGCGCGACACCGAGGCGAGACGCCCGTTTTGAAAACGTGACGCCCCGCGTCCGTGAGGCCCTGGCAAAGTTTCAAGACGAGTGCGTGCGGCG